TCAGGAACTCGGGGGAGAGGTACCAGCTGGAAATACAGACCTAAAAGGTCTTTGCCTACAGGAGGTAATGGAAACCATGGGAATAGATAAAACCATGCAAAGCCTGTGTAGGATGAAAAGAAAAGAGGTCCTGGGGCAGGATCCTGAAGAAGATTGATATTTAAAAGCCAGTGAAGGAAGGAGAGTCCATGACAAAACCATCAGAGCGACAAGAAGACAAGGAAATGATTTCAAGCAGGGTGGGATAAGTGATGTCAAATGCTGCCGATGTAAGTCGAATAAGGACAGAACAGATCCTTCAGATCCAGTAACGAGGAACTCCTGACAAGGAGGAGTTATGGGTGTTAAGGTCTGACTACAGTGGGTTGAGTTTGGGACAGTGGGGAAGGAGGTTCTGAGAAGTGAACCAGGGTGTGTAGACAAAACTTTCCAGAAGTTTGGTTGGGAAAGAGAGGCAAAGAAAAAACAGGATAGTGCTAGCAGTAGTGTGGGGTGTGTGCGGTGGGGAGGTTGTCTTGAGGGGGGATGTGTGTGCAGTAGAGGCAAGAGTCTTTTTTAAATGTTGATGCAGAATGGGCCAAGAAAGAGGAAGATTGAAGGTACAGCAGAGAGCAGGGATAGTCAACAGAGCAGGGGACCCTGCAAAAGCAGAACATGAAGTGATTGAGAGCACAGGTGCTAGAACTGGCCTTTCTCATCTGGATGTTGTTATCCACGCAGAGTTAGTTGGCTGTTACCCAGGCAGTCAGAAGTTACCCACGAAGACCGTTAGCCACTCACTCAGATATTACCCCCAAAGATGCATGTTAGCCAGGCTCACTCCAGTGTTACCAGTAGAAATGTGGATTTTACCCACATTAGTCTTTTTTTAAGATTTATTTATTTGAGAGAGAGAGAGTGAGAGAGCACACACACACAGGGAGAGCGAGGGGGAGGGAGAAGCAGACTCCCCGCTGAGCAAGGAGCCCAATGCGGGGCTCGATCCCAGGACCCTGGGATCATGACCTGAGCCATGACGTTCAACCGACTAAGCCACCCAGGCGCCCCACCTACAGTAGTCTTATATGTTATCCACACAGACCTGAGTGCTAATGCTCACACGGCTGCTACCCACAGAAAAATAGATGTCACCCACGGTTACTTTAACATTGCTCACAGTCATTTAGATGTCACTCATCCACCAAACACACTTGCTTTTGTTTTATTATCCACACGTAGATATTGCCCGTGGTCACTTAAGCAACCTTTTCCAGATATTACTCATAAAATCACAGATGTTACTCTCACACATTCGGATATTACCCACAAAGACTCAAATGTTACCTGTGTTCACTCAGGCACTCAGTTATTGTACTCAGTCAGATTCATATCTCACTTAACATCTTAACATGTTAACATCTCACGTCCATACCCACTTACATATTGCCCACAGAAACTTGGATACTTCTTCTGCTTACTCAGCTACTGCCATCATCATTTGGATACTCCCCCATTCACATTCAGACCTCTGAATGTAATCCATGTTTTCTGAAGATATTATCTACAAAACAAGATGTTATCCACAGACATATCTACAGATATCACTCTTGTTCACTCAAATGTTACAACTGTTCTTGCTCTTGCTCACTTCAGCAGCACCTATAATAAAATTGGAACAAATGTTACAACACTTGATCACATACTATCTAAACCTACATGTATCCCACACTCCATCAGGCATTACCTACAGACACGTAACTGTTACCTTTGCCCGACCTTGTCCACAAAGATATGTATTACTCTCACCCACCCAGATATTATCTATCACAAAAACTAAAGTGTTACCCAATTTTCACTCTGATATTACCAACACATCCTTCCATATTATTTTTGCTCCCTCAGTTAGTATCCATTGACATTCGGATATCCCCATTTGCCCCACTATTATCCCTAAATCAGTTGCATGCTATCCGTGCTCACCACAGACACGTGGGTATTACCTTGATGTCGTTGTTCATGGGCGACCAAATCCAACATACCAGTGAAGGCAGGATTTGAGGCATCAGCAGCTTCAGTGTTATTTCTTATAAAGTCCTGATTTTTGTTTTATGGCACATTATCTGGATTTTTGTGCTCATACGTTCTCTGCCATCATCTGGACAGAACAAATGCAGATCCTCTAGACCCCAGAAGCAGAAATGAACTGTCACGGTCTTCTGAGTTCTCTGGCTCAGCAGAATGATGCCCACAGGTAATCAAGGCACTAATACCTATAAGGTGCCTCTCCCATTCTCCCACCCCTACTGTAAGTTCCTAGTTGTTGAAGCCACTGTGATCACTCCTATTCCACCACACAAGCGCACATGGATGCATACATATAGGCAGAAACGCACACACAAGTCTTCATTCCAATTGCTTTTTTGTGACTTTTGAGAAAACCAATATTTATTTATTTATTTATTTATTTATTTATTTATTTATTTATATACTGAAGTAGGTTCCATGTCTAGCATGGAGCCCAACATAGGGCTTGAAATTACCACCCTGAGATCAAGACCTGAGCTGAAATCAAAAGTTGGAGGCTTAACAGACTGAGCCACCCACGTACCCTACTAATAGACTTTTATAGTAGTTTCAGGTTTACAGAAAAATTGAATGGAAAGCACAAGAAGTTCTCTCTCACACACACATGCACGCACACACAATTTCCCCTATTTTTAATATCTTACATTAAGGTAACATTCATTACAACTGATAACCCAATACTGATATATTATTAACTAAATTCCATAGTTTACATTAGGGTTCACTCTCTTTGTTATATTTTCTATGGGTTTTAACAAATGTGAAAGGTGTAATAACATTTATCCACCATAGTACCATATGAATAGTTTCACTGCCCTAAAAACCCTGTGCTTTAGCTTTTTATCCCTCCCTCCCTCTCCCCAGATTCCTAGCTCTAAGATTTCTTTTTCACATCTCCTAACTGTTCAACAGCAAAGACTTGGAGGGGTAGTGGTGGCTGGAAATAAGGTAAATAGCTGGGAATGCCCAGCAAAACAGCCAAGTGGCAATTTTACTGGGACTCTATTTTCTGGAGACCCATGCAAATTGGGAACTTCATAACGGTGTCTCATCTTTCTGCACCACCAAGTTCAAAGACACACATGGGACACATCAACTGGATGAACAAATGAGAAAGGTGCTTTCTATACTTTAGAGTGCTGTACCAACTTGAGGTGTGGTTATTGATTCAAGAACTAGTTGAAGGGGCACCTGGGTGGCTCATTTGTTTAAGCGGCCGGCTACTGATTTCAGCTCAGGTCATGATCTCAGGGTCCTGGGACAGAGCCCAGCTTTGGCTTGGGCTCCCTGCTCAGCAGGGAGTCTCTTTAAGGATACTCTCTCCCTCTCCTTCTGCCCCTCCCCCCTCTCTAAAATAAATAAATAAATCCTAAAAAAAAAAAAAATACTAGTTGAAAAGAGACATCCAGAGAAGGATCTGAGACAGATGATAGAACTAGAGAGATTAAGGAAAGGGGCAGGGGTGGGGAGTGGGAAGAGCAGTGGACTGGAAGGAGACACAAAAAGTACAGGATAGATTACCAGCTCTTTTTCTGGGTCCAAGGACCTCTCTGACAGAGCTCTCCCTCATAAATGTTCTTTACTCACCCACACAGACACACGCACACCCCTCAGATTTGCTACACATAAACCTTCCTTGGAGAGGGTGACGTGCGTCTCTAGAGAAACAGAGGCAGAGAGAAGAGGGCGTGCTGGAGCTTTAGAGGCATGGAGGTGAAGCATGAATGGGGAAGGACAAAGCAGGTACATTTGTGTGGAAAGTGACAGAGATTCACTCAAAATCCATTAGCCAGCATGTGTGCACACCTCCTATGTGCAGGACATTATGCTAAGTGCCAGGGATATGCTGAAGAACAAGATGGCCATTGCCCCCGTCCTCAAGAAGCTCAGAGTCCAGTGGAGGAGATAGAGAGTTAAACATAACACAGCGAGGATTGCCACACTGGAGTAGAGAGAGGCGGAAAGAGGCACTGAGATTGAGATTTGATTGGGAGAAGGAGGCAGCATGATGAATGACAGAGGGGTGAGGAAGTAGTAGGAGGCAAAGCATTTTAGAGATTTGGAGACCCAGCTGCCATTCTGATTCAGCACCTTACTTAGTTGTGTGATCTGAGCAAGTAATGTTACTGCTGGGTTCTGTTTAGGGATCTCTTGTAAACAGCATGCACTCATGCCTACAACCATTTTTTAATAAGTTGGTTATTGTTATGAAAACAGTTTAATTCAGGGGCTAACGCAAGAGTCAATGTATGGGGCTGCAGAAGGGGGACTGCCCCTCTGTGCCCTTCCTTCCGCACCACCTGGAAGGCTCTGTCCCTGCCCCCTCTCCCTTCAAGCTCTAGTCTCCCTCATGCTGAGGCCATGGGTTTGAGTGACTGAGTCCAGTTTAATTCAATTCAATTTTGTTTGGGTCGGCTTGGCTGTGATATAGAGGCCCAAAGATGAATCCATCCCCCAATAGACAATGACACAAATGAATAGAGTCAGCCCTCTGTCTAGCCCAGCAACACTAGTGTTCCTCCTGTGAGCTTCCACAACACTTTGTGTATTCTTCAACTTCACTCCTTATCATGCTGTGTGGCACTTATCTGTCATATATCCAAGTTTCCCTCTAGACCATGGGCTCTCACATGGCAGGGAATTTGTCATGTTCATCTCTTTGTCCCCAGCACCTAGCATAAAGGGAGTGCTCTGTAAATGTTTGTTGAGTGAGAATGAATGTTTGGAGATAATTAAAATACAAGGGAGAAAAGAAAAAGCATTCTAATAGGTATTTAAGAAACATGCATGGGTCAGAGAGGGGGAGATTAACTCCAAATGAGGCATCTAAAAAGGCCTTACAGAAGAGGGGGCAGTTAATCTGGGTCTTGAAGGGCAGTGGTGAATAGGAATTTACCAGATACAGAAAATGAGTTTGTGATGGAGGGAGGGTATTGTGAAAGAAGATTCCAGGCTGAGAGATCAATGTTAGCAAGGGAGGAAGTCATGAGCATGCATGATGCCTTCAAGAAACTGAGTCATCCAGTGGCTTAAGTGGGTGCTTTGCAAGAGGAGGCGAGAGGAGGAAGAAGACAGTTCTCAGAGGACCTGGAAGATATGCCAGAGGGTTGCAGACAGCACAGAGCAGGTGAAGGAGTTTTGTGTTTTTTTGTGTTTGTTTGTTTGTTTTGTTTTTAGACAATAAGGACATGACCTGACCTGTGTTTCAAAAGGTAGTGGGTGGTCAACTGTGCCAAATACTACAGGGAGATCAAGTAGAATAGGCTGAGAAGAGACCTTTGGATTTGGCAGTTAAAGCTTCGTGATCTCGGGAAGAAGTGTCCAAATGGTGTTGGAGGAGACAGATGGGGCACTGGACTGTAATGGACTGAGGGGTGAATGAGGAGATGCAAATAATCCTTTCAAGAAGTTTAGCTTAAAGAGAAGGGACCATTTGGAGCAAAGCTTGAGAAGAGACAGACTTTCTCAAGGAGAGGAGGAGTCAGGTCAATCTCACTAAGCCTCAAGGGGTTAGAAGCCTGAAGGATTCAAGTTCACCACCCACTGCCTGGGAGGAGGTGTTCCTGGGATGCAGAGGGACCGGGCCGGGTGGCCGAGGTAGGAAATAAGCGGCCTTGGAGGGTCTGGCTGAGTGGGAGCCAGACTCCCTGCTGCCACCTCTCCCTTTTCCTACCCCCCAGAACTGGAGCTGGCCATTAGGGTCACCCTTTACGCAGTGATCTTTCTGATGAGCGTTGGAGGAAATGTGCTCATCATCGTGGTCCTGGGACTGAGCCGCCGCCTGAGGACTGTCACCAACGCCTTCCTGCTCTCACTGGCAGTCAGCGACCTCCTGCTGGCTGTGGCTTGCATGCCTTTCACCCTGCTGCCCAATCTCATGGGCACGTTCATCTTTGGCACAGTCGTCTGTAAGGCGGTTTCCTACCTCATGGGTAGGTGAGACAACCCCCGCCCCCCGCCCTCCTTTCCTAAAGTCCTTGCCATACACGGGGGTCTTTCCCTGCGGGGCCTGAGAAAATCACGCTGGTTGAGTGTGTAATACAAGTTTCCTAAGTGACCCCTTCCTCTTCCCTTGTTTAGGGGTGTCTGTGAGTGTGTCCACACTAAGCCTCGTGGCCATCGCCCTGGAGCGATACAGTGCCATCTGCCGACCGCTGCAGGCACGCGTGTGGCAGACGCGTTCCCACGCGGCTCGTGTGATTATAGCCACGTGGATGCTCTCTGGACTGCTCATGGTGCCCTACCCGGTGTACACCGCCGTACAGCCAGCAGGAAGGGCCCGTGTGCTGCAGTGCGTGCATCGCTGGCCCAATGCGCGCGTCCGCCAAACCTGGTGAGGGGGCCCATTACCTCTTCCTGGGAATGCCCTTCTCCGTCTCCATCAGCTGCTTCCTACCAGTACCCAAAATCCTCCTGTGGCTGCTTTGATCCTCCGATTACCTTTCCGCACCCAGCACCCTGGGATTCCCATTTGGGGCCGCTCCCCAGTTCTCTAGCCCTTCCCAGCAGCTCCCCCAAATCCTACTTCTACCTCAGGGACCTGGTCACCAGCCCTAGGAACAACCCCTGGCTCTTCTCCGTCTGGGAGTCTAGGCGGACGGATACCCGTGTGATTGATCGCTCTGTCTGCAGGTCGGTCCTGCTGCTCCTGCTCTTGTTCTTCGTCCCGGGTGTGGTCATGGCTGTGGCCTACGGGCTCATCTCCCGCGAGCTCTGCTTAGGACTTCGCTTTGACGAAGACCGTGACAAGGAGAGCCAGAGCCGAGGCCCAAGCCAAGGAGGGCTGCGGAGTGGAGCGGCACCTGGTGCGTGAAATCCAGCCTCGCACCCCGCCCCCGGCCTTGGGAAGCGGCAGGGCCTGGAGTGGGTGGAGCAGAAAGGAGCGTGAGCCGGCAAGGAGGCAGGAAACAGGGTCTGGTGGGGTGGGGCCGGAAGTCGAGAGGGCTCAGCCCGCTGCTCTGACACCCCACTCTCTGTGCCCAGGTCCTGCCCACCCCAATGGGCGTTGCCTGCCCGAGAATGGGCTGTCTGGCGAGGATGGTGATGGCTGTTACGTGCAGCTTCCGCGCTCCCGGCAGACCCTGGAGCTGTCCGCGCTGACTGCGCCCACTCCTGGGCCAGGATGTGGCCCCCGGCCCTACCAGGCCAAGCTGTTGGCTAAGAAGCGCGTGGTGCGGATGTTGCTGGTGATCGTTGTGCTTTTTTTCCTGTGTTGGTTGCCACTGTATAGTGCCAACACGTGGCGTGCCTTCGACAGCTCTGGTGCACACCGCGCACTTTCAGGAGCGCCGATCTCTTTCATCCACTTGCTGAGCTACGCCTCAGCCTGTGTCAACCCCCTGGTCTACTGCTTCATGCACCGTCGCTTTCGCCAGGCCTGCCTTGAGACGTGTGCCCGCTGCTGCCCCAGGCCTCCACGAGCTCGCCCCAGGCCTCTTCCCGATGAGGACCCTCCCACCCCTTCCATTGCTTCCCTCTCCAGACTGAGCTACACCACCATCAGCACACTGGGGCCTGGCTGAGGGGTAGAGGGGGAGTGGAGGCTGAGGCAGGACACACCCATTCCTACAAGCAGGGACCCATCCAGACACACGAGAGACACACACCCCCTGACACAGGAGACTGACACCCAAAAGCATGGACTAATCCCAATGCACTGGTGCGCCCACACCCCCGCCCCCAAACACACAAGTGGCTTACCTGACACAAAAGAAACAAACCAGACTGCCACATAGGAAATTAGGCACACTCTTGATATGGGACTGAGCCTGGCACACAGAAACATGGCACTGACCTTAGACATACACACAGCAGCCCTAGCAATGGACTCTCCGTACATAGGGGAAACTCAGAGAGGCTGGCCTGCCTCTCTCTCATACACACATGGTGATGGCACTGCTTCTCTAGGGCTCCGGAGCCTGGCAAGGTACTGACTCCTGAGATGCTCCAGGCTGCCCCCAGTTTGACCTCACAGTGCTCTTCCCCATTTCAGCACTGAAAATACCAACCAGCATAATCTCACACTGCCCTGACCAACAGGCCATTTTGCACTGAAAAGGCCCTTCATTCCTTTCCAGTTCAATACTATGCCCCCGCCCCTCATCCCTCACCCAAACTCTTCAAGAAATAAAAATGACTTGGCTTCCTCCTGAACTTCCTTTCTGGACTTTTTCCGGGGGGCAGGTGAGGGGCACAGGATTTTTTTTTTTTTAAGATTTTATTTATTTATTTGACAGAGAGAGACACAGCAAGAGAGGGAACAGAAGCAGGGGAAGTGGGAGAGGGAGAAGCAGGCCTCCTGCTGAGCAGGGAGCCCGATGCGGGGCTTGAACCCAGGACCCTGCGATCATGACCTGAGCCAAAGGCAGACGCTTAATGACTGAGCCACCCAGGTGCCCCTAGGGGCACAGGATTTTGTAGAATCCTCCCTATGGGGTCCCTCTTCCTGCTGCTCACTCCTGTGCGTGACCCCCTGCCAAAAGGCCCATGGTCTGAGGCTCGAAGGGGATGTGGGTATTCTCTCTGGGTTGTCATCCTGGACTCACCTAAACACCAGGGTCATACAGGTAGCTGGGGATGGGGGTGGGCTCTCCATGATACATCACGATTCCCCAGCATAGTCTCCTGAAGCCATGCCACTGCTAAGGTACTATATTAATAGATACTTACTAAAATTTTATTGAAATGGTAAGAGGTAATACTGTATAATAAGACTTGGTTTATTCAATGTGTGTTTGCAACACCAAGGTTCAGATCATGATAGGTGTACAGAAGCTAAAGAGTGGGACCTTTTTAATGCACTCTTCTCTGGCATCAGAATCTGGCCAAGTTTCTGCCCATGGAAGCAACAAAGCGGGGAGGCGGATGCTGGATCTGAACAGGAGGAATCCCAGAGCCTGGCGCCCTTTTGATTGTAAGACTGATGCAGCCCCAGAAAGAGGCAGAGACAGCAACATCATCCCTCCACACACACGATGACAGGGAAGAACAGATGCCCTCACCAAGGAACACACATGGATAATCAGAAGTATGATATGTTGGGAGGCTTTCTTGACACTTAGTCTTGTAACAGATGGGAAAACTGAGACTCAGAGCAGGAAAGAAAGCTGTTCAAAGTCATACAATAAATTATAACAAGACAGAAAAAAATCCTTTTAAAGTAGACACTGAGCTGGAGATGGGAAAGAAGCCATCAGGAGGCAGACCCAAGTTTTGTGAGGCCTGGAGCTTATAAAACCGGGTGCCCTTTTTTTATGAAAAATAATAGAAAATTGCTAGGACACTGACCAGGGCCTTGGAAGGTGCCTGTGCTGTGAGGAGCCCTGAGATTTAAGCCTCACTAACCTCACAGATAGTACCACCTCTAACTCTGCCCACTAACTAGGCTGGACAGAGGCCAGGTGGAGTGAAGGACAGTGTGAAAGGAGAGTGGTCTTCTGTTTACCAGTGCTGAGGCTGCTCTCATCCTCCCTTTCTACAGGGCCCTGGGCTGCAAGAGGCAGGACGCAGGAAGACAAGGAGGGAGAAGGCATTCCGAGCTGTCAACGACAACAGTGCTGGTTAAAAATAGAATCCCAGCTGGTCTGACTTGCTGACGGCAGATATTGGGCCTTTCTCTCTCATGCCAACTTTTCCAGGGGTGGAAGTGGGGTTGCTCACGGGCTTTGCAGCACTCTGAAGGAGGTTGTCTTCGCTGCTCTCCGGTCAGCCCCTCCAGCTGGGCTCCTGATGACCACCAGATGGCAGTGGAAAGCTCTGGGGGGCAGGGCTCCAAGTCCAGCCTCAGCCTGTGCCCCCGGGGCTAGCCCAGAACCTAGCACAAATGCACGGCCTGAATAACATCGTTTCACACACAGTGTGGCCCTTTGGTCTACAGAATACTTACACATCCATCATCTTTCCCCCCAGGCCCTGCCTAGTGACCTGAGGTGGAATCTCAGGGACTTCCCTTCCATTTTCTATCTCTTGAAATCTGTCGAATATTTCAGGTCCCGATTTGATATCTCTGTCTCTACAGAGTCCTTCTTGGTCATCCTCACAAAACTCATCTGCTCCCATGGTACTTCCTGCTTTCTCTCTTCTATCACTGATTTGTGTTCCTGCCTGATTTCCAATACTGGGCTGGGAAGAGCATGATGTGGTGGTGGGAAGATGACAGAGCCTGGGCTGGAAAGCAGGGTGACCGAAGGGAGGGTGCCACATGACACGCATCTCACATACACCAATTCACTTCATTCTCAGAGCTCTCCTGCAGAATAGTTCTCTTAGACAGAAGAGGAAGGTGAGGCTAAGAAAGCTTAGCAGAGTTACATGAAGTCCTGCAGTTGGACTGTAGGCAACACTGAGCTCAGGTGTCTGCTTCCAAAACCTTTGCTCTTTCCAGGCGTGCTGTGTTGTCTTTGAAGCCTTAAAGACCTGCGTTCCAATGAGCCTGACCTGCCTTTTTGTGTGATTTTGTACAAGTTATCTCAGTGACTGAGTCTCAGCTATAAGCCAGGGATGATTACATTAACTTCTGTGATATGGTATTTATAGGAAGAAATATACATTCAGTCTTTATCCCCTTTCCTGGCACAGAGCTCCTAAAACCCGTGGAATTTCCTAAGTGATGAGAGCCAAAGAGTGCCTCTTGATTTGCTAATGAGCTGACTTTCCCAAAGCCCCTAGGTCACTTTATGAATGGGCTGGTTGCAACGACATACCTGATAAAAGGGTTGGGTATCCAAAATCTATAAAGAACTTATCAAACTCAACACCCAAAAAATAAATAATCCAGTTAAGAAATGGGCAGAACACATAAACAGACATTTTTCCAAAGAAGACATACACATGGCTAACAGACACATGAAAAGAAGCTCAATAGCACTCAATCATCAGGGAAATGCAAATCAAAACCACAGTGAGATACCACCTCACACATGTCAGAATAGCTAAAATCAACAACACAGGAAACAACAGATGCTGGTGAGGATGTTGAGAAAGGGGAACCCTCCTACTCTGTTGGTGGGAATGCAAACTGGTGCAGCCATTGTGGAAAACACTGTGGAGGTTCCTCAGAAAGTTAAAAATAGAACTACCCTATGACCCAGCAATTGCATCCTAGGTATTTATCCAAAGGATTCAAAAATACTGATTTGAAGGGGCACATGCACCCTGATGTTTATAGCAGTATTATCAACAATAGCTAAATTATGTCCATCGACTGATGAATGGATAGACAAGAAGTGGTATGTTAAAACAGAATATTACTCAGCCATCAAAAAGAATAAAATCTTGCCATTTGCAATGATGTGGATGGAACTAGAGGGTATTATGTTAAGCAAAATAAATCGGTCAGATAAAGACAAATACTATATGATTTCTCTCAAATGTGGAATTTAAGAAACAAAACAATGAACATAGGGGAAGGGGGAAAAAGAGAGAGAGGGAAGCAAACCATAAGAGACTCTTAACTAGAGAACAAACAGGATTGATGGAGGGAGATGGGTGGGGGATGGGCTAAATGGGTGATGGGTATTAAAGAGGGCACTTGTGATGAGCACTGGGTGTATGTAAGTGATGAATATGTAAGTGATGAATCAATAAATTCTACTAAAACCAATTTTACCATGTATGTTAACTAACTAGAATTTAAATAAAAACGGGAAAAAAAAAAAGAATGAGCTGGTTGCTGAAAGAACCAATCAGTTGATTGGGGGTTAGAACTTTCAGCCCTATTCTCTGACCTTTGGCGGGGGGGGGGGGGGCCTGGGAATTCAGTTCCAGCACCAATGGTCAATGATTTAATCAATTATGCCTACATAATGAGGCCTCCATAAAAACCAAAAGGACAAGCTTTGGAGAGCTTCCAGGTTGGTGAACACATGGAGATTGGGGAGAGTGGCATGGAAAACTTGGAAAGGACATGGAAGCTCTGTGCCCTTTGCTCAGACCCTGCCCTACGCATCTCTTCTATCTGGCTCTTCCTGAGTTATATTCTTTTATAATAAACTGGTGATCTAGTAAGCAAAATGCCTCTCTTGAATTCTGTAAATGCTCTAGCAAATTAACTGAACCCAAGGAAGGGATTTTGGAACCTCCAATCTATAGCCAGTTAGTCAGAAGCACAGGTGACAACTTGGACTTGCAATTGGCATCTGAAGAAAGAGGGCCATTGTACAACTGAGTCCTTAATGTGTGGGATCTGACACTATCTCTAGACAGATAATATAAGGATTGAGTTAAGTTGTAGGACATCCAGCTGGTATCAGAGCATTACTTGGTGGTGTGGGAAAAAAAATACGTGGTAATTAGTGTCAGAATCGTAATTCACACTACCATTTTGAGAATTACATAAAACAATGCTCAAAGTGCTTATCACTGTACCAGGCATATAGCATAAGAAGGGTTAGACTCAAGATTGATTTAAGATCAACGTGCAGGAATAGCTCAAAGAAATAAGGTCCTCTGCAGAGGCCACTCCTAACTCAGGGAAGCAGAACACTGGGTCCAATAGGAGGCTTGGGGCCTGCTAAGAAATGGTATTAGAATGTGGTGGAGTCAGAATTTGAATCCTGATCTGCCTGACCCCAAAGCCCATGCTCTTTTCACCATGCATCCTGACGCTGATCCCCCAGAGGGGTCATTCAGGGCTGGGGAATTGGGAGCAACTGGGAGCCACTCAGGACTCTTCTCAGGGCTCAAAGTAGAAAAACAGGTAAGTCTATAACTCTGCAGACCTGGATCCTTCAGCAAGCTCCACTTCTAGAATCACCATCCCTGGAGGAAAGCCCCTGAAGATTCACTTCTCCAAAACAAAGGGGCGGGGGGCAACTGTCCTGAAAATCTTACCCCCTCAAACCTTCCAAGAAAGCAGGTTTCCTGTCTAAGTCTCAGACATGGGGTCAAACCAGAGAAGAGGAAGCATCACAGAGAACATGAACAAAGGAGGACCTTAGGCCAAAAGCTGGCCCCTTCCATAGACAACTCAAGCCAGGGTCTTGGTTAGTCAGGTCTGGTTAGTCAGGTCTGACTAGTGAGGAGCAAGGGATGTTTTATGGAAAGACTTTGTTCCTTCAGGTTATTTCTGGGAGAGGACAAGTGAGAGGGGAGGAAAGCAAGTATAAAGGTTGAGGAAGAAAGCAGGCCTCAGCTGAAGTCAAAGCTTTGTTGCT